GAGTCAGCCTGTGGACTGAAAGGTCCCAGGTTCGATTCCGGTCAAGGGCATGTACCTAGGTTGCGGGCACATCCCTAGTAGGGGGTGTGCAAGAGGCAGCTGATCAATGATTCTCTCATCGATGTTTCTAACTCTCTATCCCTCTCTCTTCCTCTCTGTAAAAAATCAATAAAATGTATTTAAAAAAAAAAAAAAAGAGTGATAGAAGAAAAATCAGGAGGAGAACTGTAAGTCATCCCTGTTTAAAGGATCGATACATTCAACGATCTTGTAGAAAGGCAGTGAGTTTCAGTAAGACATACCACTTACAATAAAATAAGACAACTACAAACTTCTTGGTAAGTATATTAACAATGCCTTTAATATATTTTTAATATGTACACTTATTTTAAAGGATCTTTATATTTTACAGGTTCATTAAAATCAAATTGTCCTAACACACACATGAAGGTATTAATTAACCATAACACACTATCAGAAGTTAAGAAAAAGGGAAGCTCCCTTGAGTTCCATTCCACAAAAGAACAAAAGTTTTAAGAATTCATCCAGCCCTAGCTGGTTTGGCTCAGTGGATAGAGCCTCAACCTGTGGACTGAAGGTTCCCAGGTTTGATTTCAGTCCAGGGCACATGCTGGGGGTGTGGACTCAACCCCCAGTGGGGGCATGCAGGAGGCAGCCAATCAATGACTCTCTCATCACTGATGTTTCAATATGTCTCTCCCTCTCCCTTCCTCTCTGAGATCAATGAAAGGATACACACACACACACACACACACACACACACACACACACACACACACAATTCATCCAAAGGCAAGGTAAATTAGAAAGCAGCCCTTTTATGAAAAAGCACTATTGTCAGTCAGTATTTCTCTTTTCCTAAAAGACCATTAACCTAATGACAATTCCTCAGTCATATACTGTACTTTCAAGCGATCCTAAGACTGTCAACAAACATTTATTAAGCACTTAATAGATAGGCCAGGCAAGGTGCTGAATATTCTAATAGTGAACAAGTTATTTCTAAGCATTTAAATACTAGGAGAAGATAACAGCAATAATAAACAACAATAACAAACTAAATACCATAACTAATTTCAAGTGAGTAGTCACTAGAAAAACGCATTAAGTGGGGTACCTACCCACCTGGGTGGCAGGATTCTGGGAAGCTTGCCAAGGTGGGTGCTATTTAAGCTGAAGACAGGACAGTAAGCTACATGAAGCAGGTTGGGCTCCAAGGCCTCCGAGGAGGAGGGAAAAACAATGGGGTAAAGGATAAGATCTTTGCTTCCTAAATCTCACCTTGAAAAAAAAAAAAATTAGAAACCCCATAAGTTCTACTATTTCTACAAGATGCAGAGAGACTATTTTAAACAAGACAAAGTGGAAGAATTGATTATGTTAAAACATACTTGACAGGAAGAAAAAGACTCATTTGTTCAATAAGCAAAAGCAGTATAAAACTGCTAAATAAGTCCTCAGAAAAAACAACTGATCTGCTCCTCTACCTAGTTCATGACAACTTGTACCAAGATAGTATATTAACAAATCTGTGCCAGCATTAATTTGCACAAACTTCCTTCTTACTGCTTCACATTCTTGCACGCTAATTATTCATTTGTCTTTTCTTCAACACACACCAGTCTGAGAATATTCCAAGTCACTTGCCCTAAGGCCTAAATAAACCTTCATTATTTTAAAATATCCAAAATTCCAACCTGATTTCCAAGAGCCATGCCTTAAGTGGCTATTATTTCACTATTTCCTTCATTCAGTTTGGGGCATAATACATTTATTCCAAATCTTTTAAATGCAAGAATATGTTGTTGCATTATTTTCAATTATATGTGAGGACAATATACTAGTATAGGCTGGATATAATTTTACAACAAACTGAGTTTTCTCTATTTCTATTATATAAAAGTGTTAACGAATAACAATTTAAACAAATGTTTATTGAATTCATCTTTTATTCTTCTTTTGGCAAACAGATAATATAAACAAAACTATACTGCTCGCTATAGTTATACATACTCTGTCTTGCTTTACACAGTTGTAAACATATTTAAGTGGATAAAATTCTTGACTTAACACATTCCAGAATTCTGACACTTTTTGAGTTAAAGCAAAAGAAAGCTTATGAAACTTCCATTGGATTATAATTACACAGCAAACAAAATAGTATATTTGCTTTTAAATTAACATCTACCATTTTTTAAAGACTTCAATTTTAGGTTTGAGCTAAAAGGATTTTTATCTAAAGTTTTATGAAAAAAACAGAGCTAACCATACAAATGATATTCATAACCATATCAACCATTTAAAGATGACATATGTCAGAGGGGTGGTAGTGGGCAGAGATTAACCAGTACATTTATATGCACATATGCATAGCCCATGGACACAGACAACAGTGTGGGGAAGGCCTGGGGAGGGGGCATGAATAGGTTAGAGGGGGACATTGAGGGGAAGGGAAGGACATGTGTAATATTTTCAATAATAAATATAAATTTTAAAAAATTATACAAATTAAAAATAAACCTATAATAAAAAAAATGCCACTCATCTTGTTAAAAAAACAAACAACAAAAGAAAAACCCACCAGTAAGGTATTTTCCAATGCTTTAAATGTAGATGGAATTTATAATAACTAGGTTTCATGATACCTTATTTTATTCTTTTTTTAAAATATATATTTTATTGATTTTTTTTTTACAGAGAGGGAGAGGGAGAGCCAAAAACATTGATGAGAGAAAACATTGATCAGCTGCCTCCTGCACACCCCGTACTGGGGATGTGCTTGCAAACAAGGTACATGCCCTTGACCGGAATCGAACCTGGAACCCTTCAGTCCGCAGGCCAAGGCTCCATCCACTGAGCCAAACTAGTCAGGGCTTATTTTATTACTACTTAATGGTTATCTTTTAATTTTAAAGCAATACCTTACTTCAAATAAAGGCAATATAATTAGTTGATAATTTCATTATTTTATAAATTTTAGAGCCCCTGGAAAACTCAGATCTCAAAACAGGCAGCCTTCAGAATGCATTTTGCAGAATGGTTTTTAATCTCTTTAAATGGAATACCTTCATGTAGTACTTACTTGCTCTAGTTGACCAGCTTCCCACATCATCAATGAGATTGACATCATATTTTTAATATATAAACCTGATTTTTTTTTTTAATATATTTTATTGATTTTGTACAGAGAGAAAGGGAGAGAGATACAGAGTTAGAAACATCGATGAGAGAGAGTCATCGATCAGCTGCCTCTTGCACACCCCCTACTGGAGATGTGCCCGCAACCAACGTACATGCCCTTGACCGGAATCGAACCCGGGACTCTTCAGTCCCCAAGCCGACGCTCTATCCATTGAGCTAAACCGGTCCCGGCTAAACCTGATATTTAACTGCAAAAATTAGTTGCATCCATAAAGCAAAAATTCAAATATTAAAAACTTCATGATAAATTAAGCTTTTTCTAGTTGGAGAAAAACATAACTAATCAAAAAAGTCTAATTTTCATAATACTTTCTTATCAAATTATCAGACATTTGTATATATGAGTACTATTTTCTTAGAAGGAATACTGTTATGTGAAACTTGAAATCTGAGCTAGATATATCATTCACACCAAAAGGTATTATATACTCATTTCTACTACACCGTCTGGCTCCTTAAAAGTGGCTTTCAACTTGATCCATGTATGTGATACAATCATTCTCAAATACTTCAGGTTACAAAAAGGTGACATTAAAAGGCTAACAAAATAACAGAAAAAAAAAAGGCTTTCTTTTAATACTAGAAAATGAAGCAAAAGAGAAAAGTTTTGAAAGATAAATTGGAAAAGAGGAAGGATTTTAAGTAATTTGGCCTTGGACACTTTTGAAATTGCTACTACTTCAACTTGTACAAGTTACAAGTTAATGGGTAAGAGCCAAAACCGGTTTGGTTCAGTGGTAGAGCGTCAGTCTGCGGACTGAAAGTTCCCAGGTTCGATTCCGGTCAAGGGCATGTACATTGGTTGCGGGCACATCCCCGGTAGGGAGTGTGCAAGAGGCAGCTGGTGGATGTTTCTCTCTCATTGACGTTTCTGGCTCTCTATCTCTCTCCCTTCCTCTCTGTAAAAAAATCAATAAAATATATTAAAAAAACAAAACAAAAAACACAAGTTAATGGGTAAGAGAGGTCACAAATCGTTTCTTAGTGGAAAAAAGTGCAAGGAAAGCAAACTAGCTGAGCAGTGAAGGAGAAAACACCACAAAGAGTACAGAAATTAGTAGTTATGAAAATAAGAAGTTTAAGAAACAGCAAGTAGTAACAATCAGACATTAGTATGTTGAGACCTTTAAAAATTACACAAAAATAAAAGGCTAATCTGTAATTCTTACAGGTTTAAATCTGATAGGGAACACATATATATTTTGAATCTCATTTTTTAAAGTTTTAACAGCTGATTACCATGAAAAAAACATTTAAAAATTCTTATTCATTAAAACAAGCTTCTTGGCTGCACTTTGATGGGGTTATAAAAAGCTTCACAGCATTAAATTCCCTAATACTAGGGTTACTGCACTCAAGTTTCTTTATCAGGATAAATTAAATTTTCTATCACCATCCCCACATTATTGCAATCTTCCAGAAAAATTACACTGAAATGGTTACTAAAAGCTTTTAGTAAAACATTAAGATTTATTTCAACAGAATGTTCAGGATCCTAGTTTAATAAAAATATAAGCAAATAGGGCTGCATCTTGGGAGTATGAATGATACTCTCCACAATGAACTTAAAGTGTTTAAAATCCAGGAAAGGGGATACTGTGTTTATCTCTGACATTTTTATAAAAAAAAAAAACAAAAAAAAAAACCATTAGCAGCTATGCCATAAAACTGATTTAAAGTAGTTGTGTTTTTCAGTAACATGTAAAACAATCCAGCACTTGTATAAATACTCATATCGGCACACGGTACTAAAACATAATAGTGCAACACTTTGTATACTAGCTGCAATTTTCAGTAGGTCTGTTCACCAACCACGTGACAGAATTGTAATGTTCTCCTAAGCCATATGCGTGTCTCATATATCTGAAATAAAAAAAAAAAAAAGAAATGACTGGTTTTAATGAAGGGAATTCTTTGTATATAAATGTTTATTATGCATATAACACCAAGCCGTCTGAATGAATCACTCCACGGATGTATCATTCAATAAACTGCATAAGCATATTACTTAAAAAGTTCAACAGCATGTAAAAAGCATAAGATCTTTAACCAAGTCCAGTAAAACACAATCATTATTGGGGGGAGAAGGATTGAAATTCTGAGTACTCAATAAGCTTAAAATTTACCTAAATCCAAGTCATTAATGACCACCTCAGTAGCTTTATCTAATAAACACTAAAGCCAATAGCAAACTCTCCATACTGTGTTTCAGATTTCTCAATCATGTAAAATACTTTTACAATACAAAGAAAAAGATCTCTAAAGAGTAAACAATCAGGCAACATGAATATATTTCCGTTTTTTCACTTGTTGAAACTTTTAGCATTATTAATGTCAACTCAGAACAATGTTCAAACTAACCCTAAATCTTTCTAACCTTTAGAAATGATTTGTCAATCTATATGCAAAAATAAATCACTACAGATTTAAATAATTATCTAAATCTTACATTTTGGCAATGCTTTTAATTCTATAACTGCCTTTAATATACTAGTAAATAAGCTTATTTAATACTGCTAAGGATAGATTTTTTTTTAAATTATTAATCAACAACCTAAAATATTTCAATAATCCTTTTTGTCTTAATTATGAAAAATAAAACAGTAGATATTTCCAGATACTTACACAAGTATTAATGGTTTGTTTGGATATTCTTCACCAACTACAATAGGAGGAGAATCTGCCTGTATTATCTCTATTGGTGTTTGTAGAATATGAGACAGGGCTCTTAGCTATAGGAAAGAAAATGTATTAGTATAAAAATAAAGTCTAAACCTTATTGAAATCATAAACTACTGAGGTATTCAGGAATAGGGCAATCATTCAGAGCAGGGATTCTCTCTGTTCATCAATACACAGAGAACCTGGCACATAGTAGGCACTTAATACATATTTGTTAAAATAACAAGTATATTTATTAAATTGAACATGGAAGTTTCAAGCCCTGGCTACATAATAGCTTTTTGGAAAGATCAATGTCATAGTAAATAAAGTGAAGGAATTGGTATACTGGGCTCATTGTATAGACTCTCTACTTTTGAATATAATCGAAAACTTCCATAATAAAAAGTTTTTTAAAAATCATTGTTAGACACCAGGCCAAATCAATTACAATTTTGGAGAGAAAGGGGGAAAAATAGGGAACAGCGGAGAATAAGAGGTTTACTTTTCTTAAAGCTTTTCAGATTATTGTAAAGTACAACCAGGGTTGACAGCCACTACTCTGTAATTTTCAAGGTGGAAACAGAATGAACTATGTATCTGAATTGCAGTACTGTTTCATGGAATTTCCATCTAATACACAAGTTTAAGTAATTTTATACCACAAAATATAAAATGAGAACTTCAAGTGGATGAATAAGTTAGTAATACAATCAATCTTCACATTATCTTATGGAAAATACTGTTATTTTATTTTTTTATTATATTTATTTAAAGACTTAGAATTTGATGCAGAGAACAGTTGAGAGGCCTGCCTAAAGTCATGCACAAGGAAATAAAATGACTTGCAAACTTACCTCCAGCTGCCCTCCCCATGCAGCTGTGTTTATAATATCATCACAGTACTTTCCAAACTCTTCTGTAGAGAATAAACAGAATATAGCAGTTAATAATTGTCACAACTCCTGTTATAAAATCTCTAGTTTCTGCAATTCCTAAAACTACTCAAGATTTGAACTTCCTCCTTTTCTACCTGTACTCTCAGAATTTAGTCCACTTACAGATCCAAACCTAATTCACTACAATTCTCCACCACCTTTCATCCAAGAGCGAAGCATTTCTGCTTCTCTCCCTCAGTCTGAGACCCAAGGAAGGACCGTAACTATATAACAAACCTACTTCCCTCTCCTTCCCCAAGCAATGACTCTCCCAAATCGTCAACTTATTCACTACCTTGACATGTATTTTAAAGCCTAAAGCTGCATCAGAAATACACCAAAATAAAAATGCAGCCTCTATAAAATCAGCTCTACTGTAAGATCTTAAGAAATGTGTGAAGACCCGAACCTGGTTTGGCTCAGCGATAGAGCATCGGTCTGCGGACTGAAAGGTCCCAGGTTCGATTCGATTCCGGTCAAGGGCATGTATGTTGGTTCTGGGCATATCCCCAGTGGGGGTGTGCAAGAGGCAGCTGGTCGATGTTTCTCTCTCATCGACGTTTCTAGCTCTCTATCTCTCTCCCTTCCTCTCTGTAAAAAAAAAAATAAATAAAATAAAAAAATCAAAATATATTAAAAAAGAAAGAAAGAAAGAAAGAAATGTGTGAGGAAAATCAAGAGTAAAAGCAGTACAAACGCGCTGAAACTCCTTTCTCAGAGGTAGCATCCAATAGGGCCTCCACTTGTCATTTTGGAAACATTTACCTTATTTGTATCAGCATCATATAGAAAACAATATATTTTAACTGCAGAATAATTAAATACGTAAAAATATTAACTCCCTAGTAAAGCAACTTGTACTACAAAGTTATAGAAAATAATTCTACCTAAATTTTGAAGTCTTTTCCCCATAAGGACTATACCAGTTTTTCTTATTCTCAGTGTCAGGAGGCACTTGATTTAACAATAATCACCACCACAACTGCAACACCAATACATAGTAAAGAGAAATAAATCACCTGGAGTGTACATATCTCCTGTATTAGCGTTTGTTAAAAATGGCAGAAAGTCATCCATGTGGCTTTGCATATAGTTAGCAGTTTGGCTTCTTAAGGCAGCTACAGTCAGAGGGCAGTCCCGCTCTTTCAGCTGATCTTCAATGGCTCTATACATACAGTGGCCATCCGAGGGAATCTGTTTGATTTCCAACTCTCTAGCTGCCAATATTTGAGCAAGTTTTTCACTTTCTACATGTCTAGCGCCATATAAGTTCTCAATTTCAGCTTCAGCTATTCTTTCTTTCTGCTCCTTTTCCAATGCAGCTTTTTTATCCTAAGAAGACAACATAGGAAAAGTTAACTCAAACAAATTAGGTCTAATTTACATTTATTAAGAAAATATAAAAGTAAGATTCATAAAAAATTTTGCCATTTTTCTTCCTTCTCCCATAAGCAATATCCTACTGTGATCTCATCACTTGTAGAGTCTTTTATAGTGAGAACTCCTTTGTTAGAACAAACTACCTTTCTCACTAGTGCTATACAGGGACAAAAGCCCTCAAGTTTTTCCTTGAAAAAATATAAAATTTGTAAAAACTATATCCCTACATGCCAAGTTTCTAAAAACTTTACTTACTGATTTCAATGTCCTCTCTTAAGACTCGCTTATCCTAATTCTTAAAACACGCCTTACCAATTTAAGTCCAGGCTCATACCAAGTTTTGTAACTTACCACTACACCAGTGGTACATTAACATGCTAACGCCTTTAGAAGGGAACAAAAATTCTACTTATATGTATCTATTATAGCTTTAAAGAAAATGTTTGTGTGAACATAGACACAAACGTTTTATTCATTTAACAGATAAAAATATTCTTCTATAATAGATAATAAATTAAAATATTACAAATAAATCTAAAGTTCCCCTTAAGAACCGCTATCAATCCCAGTACCTGCTCTGTTGTATATCCTTCTAGATATTTTGCCTATATGTTTTTTTAATTAATTAATTAATTAATTTATTTATTTATTTATTTATTTTTGGTTGATTTTAGAGAGAGAAGGGAAGGGGGAGAGGGAGAGAGACAGAGAAACATCACCTTGTTGTTCTGCTTGCTATACATTCTTCGTTGTTTGCTGTAGTGCCCTAACTGGGGATCGAACCTTAAACCTTGCCGTATTTGGGAGGATATTCCAACCAACTGAGCTATCCAGCCAGGTCTCCTTTGTATTTTAATAAATACAGATGTACTTATAGAAAATGTGTAAAAAAAAATTTTCTTTTTTTTTTTTTTTAGTAAAAATGGTATACATTACATTCTGTAACTTGCTTTCCATATTCAAATGGCATAAGAAATCTTCCTATAAAGCATATGCAAAGAAGGGGAAGGTTAATGAGAGATTTGTGATATGAAGGATGGTTAGGAGGTAGAATGATGGTTAGGAGGTAGGTTGGAGAAAAAGAGAAAACATTCTTGACAGCTGGACTAGGAAAGATGAAAAATCAGAAGCAATATATGTCACACAGATTAACAGAGCTCATATAGCTAGAATACCAGAGAAAAGTGTCAAGAGCTGAGGTTGGAGAAAAAAAGATAGTTACAAACAGTCCCGATTTACGATGGTTCGGCTTAGATTTTTTGACTTTATGAGAGTAGGAAAGCATGCACCTCCAGTTTCAACCTTCCTTCAAATTCTGAATTTGATCTTTTCTCAGGCTAGCTATATGTTGTGGTAGGATACTTTTTCATGATAATGGGCAGCGGCAAATGACCATGAGGGTCAACCACCACACGCTACAGTGCAGTCATTGTTAGATGATTTTGCCCAATGTAGACGAATGTAAGTGTTCTGAGAACACCTACGGTAGGTTAGGCTAAGTGGAAACTCAGCAGGTTAAGTGTGTTAAATTTCATTGGGTCCTTTAACAAGGAACTCCATCGTTTCTTTCCTTCCCTCTTCTTATATGACACAAAGATATACTGAGCACACAGCACTGACTTAAATACTTGGTGAAACGACTTTCATACCCGTCTCTTTTGTGCTCTTGAAATCCGAGGCGGCTGATTCTCAAGAACCAAGTTTGAAATGTTAACAGCATCAAAATCTCCCTAAAAAGAAAGAAAGAAAGAAAAAGAAACAGAGAGAAAGCATTAACTAGTTAGTAAAAAAAAAGTTTTAAGTTAGTATTCAAAGTATTAGAGCAATACATTAATGAAAATCACAAAAACATATAATCCCATAATTCAAATTTGAGTAACAGCAGTAGGTATCAGATAGTATAGTTCTGCCTCCTTTCTCTTTACAAGAGAAAATTTACCTGATCCTCAACAACTTTCCTTAGAGCTCTTCCAAGTCAATGCTCATCCCCGCATGCTTTTCTTCCTTCTTGGCATGCCTATTCCATTCATCTAAATAATGCTTTTAAGGGCCAGTGCATTCAGCCCTCTACCTTTCCCTTCTCTAAATGTTAGTACTGCCCTAACCGGTTTGGCTCAGCTGATAAAGTGTCGGTCTGCGGACTGAAAGGTCCCAGGTTCGATTCTGGTATGTACCTTGGTTGCGGGCACATCCCCAGTGGGAGGTGTGCAGGAGGCAGCTGATCAATGTTTCTCTCTAATCAATGCTTCTAAACTCTCTATCCCTCTCCCTTCCTCTCTGTAAAAAAATCAATAAAATAAAGTTTAAAAATGTTAGTTATTCAGAGGCTAGACAAGGTCCTGTGCTGGCTCAGTTCATTACTACCTTCTCCACCTCCAATGTGGCATTAGCATAATTAACCAGAACCTAATGAGCACTGCTTCTTGACCCTGGAACAAGCTGAGTCTTTACTGTCCTTTCCCGTCTACACACAGAATCTAACTTATAAACATCATCAAGACATTACAATGAATTTTAGACATTAAATGGGGATCTTGTACTTGCTGGAGAAAAAAAAATATGTTAGACTCTTAACTATCAGGATTAGTAGCTAGTATTTTATTATTGCAAATAAATGAAGCTAGCTTTTAGTATGACACATTAACACACCACATATCAGTGCCTCTAACAACTCTCCAATGACCAAAATATCAAAATCAGATTAAAATTTCAAGAGTGGTTATCACCTTTAGTGAAATTAGTATTCTTATATTTTTCAGAGAAATCTGTTAAAATGTATAAATTGCCATACTGTCAATAGGCAAGATACAGAGAAGCATTTGGGAAAAAAAAAAGAGAGAAAGAAATGACATAATTCAGGCAGCTTGCAGAAAGGAAACAAGCTTAAGTTAATGAAAAAGTTAGTAGTCCCAAATAAAATGGCGGTTTGTATTTGAACAGTTGGTTAATATGTAGCTTAAGAATCAAAGATTTTTGTCCCTAGAAACCCAGGAGAGAAATTTCAAAACGGAAAGACCTGAGAGAACAAGCAAAACTATCTCACTAAAAAGACGGGGAGACGATTAGGAACACCCTGATCCTGACAACACAATTAAACACCTGGAGCACCAACCTTGCGGCTTGCCAATAAAATATCTAAGGGCACAGAAGGCCAGGATCTCCATGATTGGCTAATAAAGTTTAAGAAAATGAGACTATGTTTAACATAACAACACTGTAAGTCGGTACATATAAGCTGATTTCCCTGTCATCAGCAGATCAAAAATGAACCAAACAAAATAAAAATTAATTTTGGCAGGAGAACTTTGCATAGACATAAAAAACTTTCTGACTGCCAAAATGGAGTGAGGTTATGGAGTCTGGCCTTTGCTATCCAAAACCCAAGCAATAAATTACCCTATTATACAAAATTATAACAGAATTCAACATTCACACCTGGCTTTGCCGCTTAATAAATGCTATGCATTCAGAACAATGTTCGTAATCTTGTGGATTAATCAAGTGTTTCCCACTTGAAAATGGGGTCATCTGCACTTACCTCAGAGGCAATACTGTGTTATTGCCTCAATGTGTTACTGTGAGAACTATCATGAGATACTGCATGCAATACATTGATCACAGTGCTTGGCATACAGCACATATTAACTATTATAACAAAAAGATGACAGTATGCTCGTTTACCCAAGAAGCCAGTAAATTTTCATTCATTACAACCAGTCCCTAAAGCACTTTTATACCTTAAACATGACTCTTAAGTCCCATGCGATGCATACAGTGTCTTGACTCAAACAGCAGAGGTGTTTGTATTTGTATAAGTGGAGAAATTGATGCTCAGAAGTTCAGGTAACCTTACCCAGGTTACAACCATACTTAATGGCAACGTGGGGACTACACGTCTGTCCTGCCAGCTTTCATTGGGCGGAGCTTCCTCTAGTCCGCGTTACCAATCTGTCCATCTTCTGGGCAAGTAATACTTAGGAGTGTCCTTCCTTTGCTGACCTCCCTTACAAAAATACATACTACCACGTACACCTGGTCACGGGAAGAATGAGGGCAATGCATTGGCGGGACTGGGTGATGCTATTTCCCCCCACAGGTGTGATTTTACACGGTGAACGGTTTATGCGGACAATCGCTGCCAAGCCCTGTGGGCAGAGAGAAGCGTACCTGGCTCCCCTTGGCTGTCAGCTTCAGCTGCTCCAGTTCCTCCCGGTGTCTCTGCTCCATCTCCGCTTCCAGCTTCGCAACATCCTCCGTGAGTTGCTTCCTCCTCTTTTTGTCATTCTTGGGAACAGCATTCTTCATACCTTGAATTTTGGCTGGAAATCCACCAAAAAAATAAAAATCAAATTAAAAAAATCGAGGTTACCAGTGGTCCTCAACCTTTCTCGTGCCCCCAACCATAACATTCATTTCGTTGCTACTTCGTCACTGTAAGGTGGCTACTGTTCATGAATCGTGATGTAAATATATGTGTTTTCCGATGGTCTGAGCCGGCCCTGCGAGCGGTTCTCAACCTGTGGGTCGCCTAAGACCCTGGGGAAACACAGATGTTTACATCACGATTCATGAACAGGAGCCACATTACAGTTAAGAAGTGGCAACCACGACTCTCTCATCGATGTTTCTAACTCTGTCTCTCTCCCTTTCTGTAAAAAATCGATTATATATAAGAGAAGTAGCAACGAAAATAACTGGATGGGGAACTGCGCTGGGATGGTGAGGGGAGGATCGGGAAGTAACTGTCACAGCGATCCCCCGGGCAGAGCGGAGGGAGCACAGGAAGCAGCTGCGTGGCTGCCCCCCCCCCCCCCCCGTGTCCCACGGACACCGGAGCCGGCGGTGGCGACCGAAGGAAGATGACATGACGGAAGTGTCTCCCTCCTTTCCAGCACCCCCTCCGAACCCCCAAACGGAGGGGAGGCGTTTCAAAAAGCACCCGAGGGCCCGGGGCGGGTGACCGGCGGGACCGGGACCGGGAGGGAGCGGGACGGCCGTCCCCCCGGGCGGCGTGGAGGGTCTCAGACCCCGACACCCGCGGGGCGCGGCCCCCAGAACTGAGGAGGGGGGACCCCAGCGCTGAGGAGGGGGGACCCCGGCGCTGAAGAGGGGGGACCCCAGAGCTCAGGAGGGGGGACCCCAGCGCCGAGGAGGGGGACCCCCGGCGCTGAGGAGGGGGTGCCCCTGCAGAGGAGAGGGTGAGCAGCCTCCGGGGCCAGGGAGGCGAGCGGAGAAGCCCGGGACCCTGCAGGCCGGAAGCCAAGGACACCCCCCCCCCCATCCACCTTGCAGCTCCTTCTTCTCTCTGCGCTGCTTCCGCACCAGCTGCTCCTCCTCGTCAAACTCGTCCGCCGAGCAGCCCTCCATGGTCACCCGGTGCCGCCCGCCGAGGAAGCAGCCGGCGCCGCCGGCGGGCGGGCACCTCCCACCTCACCCCTCACCCCGCGCGCCATTGGCCAGGCCGGCGCTGGCCCCGCCCCCCAGGCGGAAGCGGATAGGCCGCACCTCCGGAAGGAGGAGGCGGGGGAAACTGGAATGCTCGCACATGCGCACTCCGGCTGGACACGCCCCCCTGGGCGGGGCGCGGGAGCCGGGAGGCGCGGGGCGGGCGGGATGTGCAGCCTGAGCCCCGGGGCCCTAAGGCTGAGCTCTGGGCTCTGCGTCCTGATGGGAGGCGCGCAGGGATGGCACAGGGAGGACCATTTTGGAAATTTGTTTTTTGTTCCAATTGCTTTTTTTAAAAATCTCACTTTTGGTTCCATGGCTAAGAAGGCCAGTGGAAAAGGTAAGAAGAAAAAAAAAGAGGAAAGGTAAGAAAGAAAAATCAAAGGTCCATAAACCACTGATAACTATCAATAGGAATCTGTTCCTTAAACCAGTCAAACAGTAAGTAGTAAATATGTGTATTGTTTTAAAAGTGCTTAAGAGAATAGAAACAGAGGCACTTTAAAAGTGGAGTTTGAGCTGCCATCCCAGGGCAATGGCCTAGCAGGTCTTACTCCTCAATCCTATGGAATTTGTTAAAATGACCTTTGGGCCCTAACTGGTTTGGCTCAATGGATAGAGCCTCGGCCTGTGGACTGAAAAGTCCCGGGTTCGATTCTGGTCAAGGGCATGTACTACCTTGGTTGTGGGCACATCCCCAGTGGGGGGTGTGCAGGAGGCAGCTGATCTACCTTTCTCTCTCATGGATGTTTCTAGCTCTCTATCCTTCTCCCCTTCCTCTCTGAAAAAAAAAAAAAAAATCAATAAAATATATATATATTTTTAAAATGACCTTTGGCCTGGGCCTAAAACAGCATTGCATCCAAACAGTTGTTTGCAAAGAGGACAGTAAAACCAGGCTAAAAATTAAACACATGAATTAGCATCACTGTGTTAGCTAATCTGCACCTACAGAAACTCCTATTCACGTCATTGCTCCCCTTCCTTTTCCCTGCCTTTATTGCCTGTGGGCCCTGACGATAAATGGGCTCAAATTTTTAAGACTAGAGCTTTGCCCTGACCCCTGTGGCTCGATGGTTGGAGCCTTGTCTTGTGCACCCAAGGGTCAAAGGTTCAATTTCTGATCAGGTGGCAGGTTCGGTCCCTTGTGGATGGGTGGGCATGAGGCAGCCTATCGATCTCTCCAATAACCCATCCCTCAGCTGAACTTCCCCTGGCTAGTTTTTGTATTTAGCACTGGGTATGTAGCTTCTGCAGCTAAGAAAAAGTCAATTCGTTAGTTCCCTCCTGTCAATTGTACCCAGGGCTCCTGTGTTGTTTTTGCTCCCATCAAAACAGCATTCTTCCTTGCCTGGGGACCATATTGAGCAGAACGGAGATGGGAGTTTTATGTTAAAAGGGAAGTGAAAATAATTGCACCAAAATTGGTCTTAGTGTTGTGGCGAAAGGAGGATTTCCCCAGTTCCTTGTAGACAAAGTCAGATTCTCCATTCAGCTCAGAATTCTTCATTTAAGCTTCATAGCTTCTCAATTAAGCCTGTTCCAGGATGCTTTAATAGATTTTTTTTTAGCCACTTTTTGCACTTCTAGCCATCTCTTACAAAAGAGATTAAGTGGAAATTGTAGAGAAGCACAAAGAAAGAAACAACTTCCCTGGAGGGTGCTTCTCAGCAGTGAAGCAGGCAGCCGGCCCAGAGCCTTTTCAGGGTAATATCAGAGAGAAATGAGAGTAATCCATTTGGAAGAAGCCGTAAACAAGTTGCAAATTTACCAGAATTCTACAAACCTACTGCTCTGCAGAGGAATGGAAACACATGAATCCAGACTGGCGATAAACTGAAAATGCCATCAACAGATTATGATGGTAATAACCTTCTCTTTGGTTTTCGTATCTGAGGAATAGGACAAAAATGCCATTTTTAAGGTATCATCACAAATGGCTGGTTCCTTATATTTAGGAGGAGGAAGAGATGTTTCCCTAAGTATACATATAAATTATGTTAAATCACATTGTTGCCTTTGTTACAGGGAGGCTTACCTTACCATCGTTTGGATTTATCCATATCCTATATAATAAAAGGCTAAGATGCAAATGGACCGAACGGTGGAATGACTGGTCACTATGATGCGCACTCACCACCAGGGACAGAGGCTCACTGCAGGAGCTGCCGCCCTGGTGGTCAGTGCTCTCCGACGGGGGAGCACTGCTCAGCCAGAAGCTGGGCTCATGGCTGGCGAGCGCAGCGGCAGTGGCAGGAGCCTCTCTGGGGCAGTTTCTCAAGGACTTCATAGGCTGGGCTGAGGGACTCCTCAAGGCCCAAGTGCATGATTTTCATGCACCAGGCCTCTAGTTAAATAATAAGTATATTAAACATCTTTTTCCAAGGTAAAATATGTACTCTGATTATATATGTGATTTCATACATGAGAGAAGAAGTTGTTTTCTAATTGAAATTATTTTTAAAAAATTTTTAATTTAAAAATAATTTATGAAAGTTTCAAGGTGTATAATAGATGGCTTTTCTAGTTTTATGATAATTTATACTACTGATTTTTATATGTTCTTTTTAAGATGATTCAGTGCTTTTCCTTAGTGTGACTGTCATTGGCCTTCATGATTTGGGTGTGTGGGCATAATTCAAAGAATCTTAACCTAATCTGTAAATGCTCTTCTAACTGTTAATTGTATGATTGATTTTTTTCACCCTTTATTTTGCTTGAAGGTTATTCATACTTTTTAATTGGATAGAAAGAAAGTTTTTCCTGCTTATAAAAATAAATACATAAAATTATTTAAGTAAATGAAAGGTAAGGTCAGAGATGAATAGGATTATAAAAATTTTTGCTATGAAGGGTATAAACATAAAAGGATCAAGACAGTGTACAACACGAAAACAGTTTATTAGAAAACCCAGCAAAGGAGATTTAAAAATAGGATCTTTGTTCCAATTAAGAAATAATGGTTAATACATAATGTCTCATGGTACTTAAACACAATACAAAATTAGCTCAAAATAATGCTAAGAGATTATATTGATGTGGTTCAGATGTGGGTATTGGATTCATCTAGCCTTATCTCTCACAGGAAACATGACATGCCCAGAAATAATTGGAAAAATGTGTCAATAAGAATGAAAACCCCGCCTAGCTGGTGTGGTGCAGTAGTTGAGTGTCGGCTTCTGGACCAGGAAGTCCGGCTCTATCCCCTGTCAGGGCACAAGCCAAATGTCAGGCTCAATTCCCAGTAGGGGGCAAGCAGGGCAGCCAATCAACGATTCTCTCTCATCATCTCTCTCATTCTTTCTCATTTCTCTTCCTCTCTGAAATCAATAAAAATATATTTTAAAAAACGCCAACTTACCTATCCAGTCTTGAATTGAGGTGTAGAAATAGGCCCATTCCCATGCTCCACCTCTCCCTCCCACCCCGTGGGAAATATGACGAAGGCCATCCATTACAGACTGCATGATCTTGGAGTCTAGTCAGCTCCTGAGTCAAGAAAACAGCCAGCAGTTTTGGTCTTACATAGCTTGCTTGAAAGCACACCCCCCTTCCCTTGTACCACCAGTTTTTCTCTGTTTTCTGTGCTCTTTAAAGCCTTGTGTTGGGAAAGTAGGGGTGGTGGCAAAACAAGGGCACAGGCCAGCGCCCTCAGTGTGGCCAGTCGGCAGGCCGATGGGACTTGGCAGTTCAACTTCGCTAGTGGCAGCATGTGTGGCGGTAACTTACCCACCTGGCCTCCATGGGGTCTCCCCATGTGTAAGTAATAAAGGCTGTCCTTCCCTCTGGTCCCTGCCCCTGATTTTTTGGGACTATCAAAGAACAGTGTGATGCTCCCAGGAATGGAGCTCTTATGTTATAGCAAGGAATAATCCATAGGAGATATGTATATATCCCCCCACAACATACACACACACACACACACACATATATATGTGTATATGTATATGTATATGTATATGTATGTTGTGGATTTTTTAAAAATTGATTTTAAGATTTTAAAGAAAGAGGAAGGGAGAGGGAAATAGAAACACCAGTGATGAGAGAGAATCATCAATGACCAGAGAGAATCATTGATCGGCTGCCTCCTGTATGCCCCTACTGGGGATCGAGCCTGCCACCTGGGCATGTGTCTTGACTTGGTTCATGAGTCGATGCTCAACTACTGAGCCACATGAGCCAGGCTATATTACATATTTTTATAGAATTATACAAGTTTTTATGCACATGGTTTTGTGTGTGTGAGGATTCAATGAGGTTAGCAGAAATTATATTACCATTGTATATATGGTGTCAAAATGGCTCAAAATAGTTGAGTCTTGTGTAAGTTATACAGCCAGTGTCAGTTTCATATGCAGGATCATGACTCTAGATCATATTGTATGGAGGTTTTGCTTTGCATTTCAAATTCTCTCCTCCAAAGGACTGAAATTTGTGCTCAAAATGTTTCACAAGAGATTGAATGACCTGCTTTGGGATTCCCAGTAGCCACCCAATGGCACTAAAATTTCCAGTGAATATAATTGTTTTGATGTTTTACATTCACATTTTACTATGTTTACATTTTTAAAACAATAGTAATTTAAATTTACATTTAAAATTTTATTCTCATTGATGAACTTTAAAAATATATATATATTTTATTGATTTTTTACAGAGAAGAAGGGAGAGAGAGAGCTATAAACGTCGATGAGAGAGAAACATTGAGCATCTACCGGGGATGTGCCCGCAACCAATGTACATGCCCTTGACCGGAATCGAACCTGGAACCCTTCAGTCCGCAGACTGACGCTCTACCACTGAGCCAAACTGGCTTCGGCTCATTGATGAACTTTAAAAACTCTTCTTCCCCAAGAGTGATATTTCTTTAATTTATCTCAGTTTATCTGCTCCCTAGTTTTGAGGTACTTTGTTTGTATTCT